ATAAATATATATTGGTCTTTTCCTGGTAAATACGTAAGGCACAAAAACATCATCTACGTAGTGCAGTAAAGAGAACAACATTACCGCGGTATTTAGGGGAGAGGACTTATGTTGGAAAAACAGGATGCTAATTTTAGAACCTATTTTCAGAAACAGACTGAGATATCTGTTTTACATTGCGCAATTTGCGCGGTAGATGACACGACTCCGCTTAAACTGAGGAAACAAGAAATGCTCATAATCCACCTGTCTAAGCAAGAAAAATGCGCACCTGGATGAGAACTGAGTCTGCTTAGGCGACATCCAAATGAGATCAGCCATGTCGATAATACAGCGTCGAACTATTGGCTGACATACAGGAAAGACACCCGAATAGAGAATTTTCTATTTGATATTCAGGATCAGGTTATTCCAACCAAAAATTACCAATTAAATATATTATCAAAGACCTGAATTGTGGTGTCATCGAAAAATGTGGAAAATATCTTGGACATAACACTATAAAGAAAAGAAAAATGAGCTACTTTGGTCACATACTAAGAAACGAGAAATACGAATTGATGCAGCTGATATGTGCTTAGGGATGGGGTACGTTAAGAAGAAGAAGATCAAAGACCCTCAGGTCAAAAACGACAAATCCCGATATAAATGAAAGAAACCATCCAACATCTTACCGGAGGCTGCCAGGCGTTTTTCGAAATAATTATAAAGAACTCCATGATTATTTATAAGTAAGAAATAGAGAAGTTCCCGTAAATGTTATAAAAACTATCGAAAACATATACCAAAACAACAAAATGGAAGTCAGAATAGATGGTCAATTTACAGAACCTATAGAAATAGGCAGTAGAATAAGACAAGGGGATTCATTGAGTCCCATGCTCTTCAATTTGATCATGGATGAAATCATCAAAAGCGTTAACAAAGAAAGAGGATACAGAATGGGAAAAGAAATAAAATACTCTGTTGCGCAGACGGCGCAATATAGATAGCCCAAGATGAAGATTGTCTGCAAAGACTAGTCTACAGATTTAACATAAGGGCAAAATAGTCTCTTTAATATGACAATCTCATCTCAGAAAACTAAGTCAGCAAAGAACCAACTAGATGTAAAATAGAAATTGATGGCATCAGTATTGAACAAGTAATGGAAATAAAATACCTGGGAATTACACTGTCTAGCTATGGAGACCTGGAAAAATAAGTGAGAAATCAAGTACAAAAAGCAAATAGTCTTTCAGGATGCTTTAATAATGTAATACACACGCTTTCTGGCTGTCACCAGATGTAATACAAGAGGCGACTCCGCTGTCGCCACTGAAATACTTTATAGACCCTCAAAGGATGCTAACCCTGCGAGCGGCTGCTAGGCTTACTGGCCCCACTGGTCCGAACTGACTGGATCGTCTTCGTGGATTTACGAGAAGATAAGGGATTTTCGGGATAGGGGTAAGGACTCCTAGGTCTCAGGTCCTGTAAAGAGTTGAGGTTACGGGCTTACTTTAGAAGCCGGAGATATGTATAAGCAGAATCTTGTACTCTCCTAGTCTCTGTCTGAATCGGCCGAAAGGAACATTAAAACCAAATTAGAGTCTACAATATATTGAATGTACCCTGTAGTTTACAAATACAATCGTTAATAAGTCATTCGGCGCGCCGGGAGACGAGAAGCAAGAGAGTGAAGAACTGACAATTGTACTATTATAATTACTCAGGTTAGTATATAGAAATCTGTTACCTTATGTGTAGTTAGACTTTCAACAACGACACGTCTTCGGTCCTCCACTAACCTGACTACACGAGAGTTACCACCACTAACCTGACTACACGAGATACTATGTCGCGTGTTAAGCACTCCCCGGAGACATACCGACTGCTCGCGTATTCGACGCTCCCGGAGGCAATTACTGCCTCGGGCAGGCACAGCTGCCCAGCTACTACGGACCGCTTCCGCCGTATTACTACTACTGACTTGGCTGACCAAGTTTTCTAGTTTTTATCGAGCTCGTATTTTCAATGCCGGTTATAGTGCCAAGGTCGTGTTTTCGCTGAGTTGTAGTCCTAGGCGTTATTTGGGCCACGACTATTGTTATTTTTACAACAATAGTTTCTGTTTGACGTGCTTTTTCTACATTTAAACAATTAACAAACAATGCACTAACTAGGTCAATTTCTTTGTGTAACCTAAATGTATACTTTCTGTATGAATTCTCCCTTATTAAATTTGGAATATATAATAATTATCTCGTATAATTATTATCTTTTCTATGCTACTTAGCCCTTTATTCCAACTCCCCACTCACTTGCTACGCTCACATTACAATAACACTATATGGCGAAACAGACACCTTAACACTGAGATAAAGTCAAGAATTTATAAGGCCAGTGTAAGACCAATAATGACATATGCCTCGGAAACAAGACCAGACACAGCCACAACACAAAGGCTACTGAAAACGGCAGAGATGAGAGTACTGCGAAGACATTAGAAGAAAATGTAACGTACAGTGTATAAAGGAATGGACACAAAATAGAAAAAAAAATGGAATAACCACATAAGCAGAATAGAGGAGATCCGTGTCGTCAAAATAGCAAGAGATAAGTCACCAATCGGCAGAAGAAGTATCGGACGACCGCGCAAATGATGAAGTGACAACCTTCCATATAAGTATTAATCCGCCAATGAACAAGCAGAATTGCTTATAAAGAGGAAGAAGAAAAAGAAGAAGACCATGATTATTCACCAAAAACTAGCCAACAAACTAGGACTTCTCCAAACCGAAGATCTCCTTTATTATCAATAGGTCTCACATTCTTGAAAAGACAGAAATCTTAAAAACCACAACTACATGCTATACTGGTACCGTACTATGTTCGCAGACCAAACAGTAGCACACAATAGAACCTTACTAGTTAATAAATTAACAGATGTAGCGATTCTTAACAACAATAATCTAATTGTTATATACAATAAAAAGATCGCCAACTACAGGGATCTAGAAATACAAATATGGAGAATAGAAAGGACCTAGACATTACCTAGTATTCTATCTACTACTGGTGGTATTCCGTGTTATTCTAGTAAACACAAAACAGCTGGATATATTTTTATTCTCCCTTATTTTTCCCTCACAAACTTGAACTCAAGTATACTTGGCAGAGCACATAATGTCAACTGTCAAATTTGTACGCATATGAATCTCCGTGACTTTGGAATATTAGCTCACGGAAATTGTTATAAACTGTTGGTTGTATAACCGCCTAGAAATTTCATTGATGACGTGCAACGAATTTGGGAGGAAAAGATTTATATACCAATTTTTCAGTATATCATGGTAATTTAAGATTCGTATTACAATTTTTGTACTTTCATGTTTTCATAGTATCAATTCTACTCGTATTTAAAAAGTATTTAACTTAATAGTTGTAGATAAAGTTTATATTCCGGAATTAAATATATGAGTAAAAATTATCATATACATTTTAAGTAGCAGTTTTAGGTTTCGAATTATAAAGGGCAGTCTAAAAGAATTTAACTATGGTGTTGTTTTCTTTCTTGGCACCATAAATAAACAGGGTATACAGTAATACAAATAGCTAACCACAAAAAGTAATGCTAAGAATATTTTAGATCGTCCTGAAAACGATATGTGCCTTGTAAAATTTCACGTTTTAAGATTAAATAGATACTCATGTCATTTAGAAGATATATTGTGTTAACAGAAAGCCATTGTATAATCACTCTGGTTCTATAGCACTCAGAAGATAATGTCGGTATATTAACTTTTTTTTATCATACTTTCGATAAATTAGGATAATTTTTTATCAACTATTAGTTCAAATTGATCTTCCAAATAAGACACGGTCCAAATCCGGAAGAGGAACAAACTAGGAAGACGAATAATTATTAATTCTGACTGTGGCTGTGGAAGTCTCCGAGATCATTTAATTCTAATCAAGTTAGGACCTGCTATGCTTTCTGTTTCTCACAACCAATCTTACATATTGGCTTTAAAACGATGAAAACAGATTTGAATAATTATATCATATCATAAGCTCCAGTACAGAGGTCTTTGCACTCATGTACTAAGCGGGAAAGCTGACAGAAACCGCATTGTAGAATTAATGAATAAAATAGAGGATGTTTATTCACAAAAATCAATAGAAATCGTGATGTGTGCCTTTCTAGATATAGAAGAAGCATTTTGACGACACTCCACATGCAAGAGGTATAGATAGTACAACAATCAAGTGGATGACAGAATTGCTGCGTACACGAGTGATACAGATGGTAATAGGGTAAGATACCTTCTCCATCTCAATTACTCTCACTCAGGTGTATTCTGCTTAAATAATTAAAGATATGAATAGTGAAATTGTTCTGAAGCTATTTTCTTGTGGCATTTTAATGCAATTACTATTTTAGTTGAGACTAAGCCACAATTTTTAAGTTTAAATATGTCAAATTATTGAATTACAAGAAGATTTGCCCTTGCACGTTTATAAATCGTATCCGCCGAAGAATTTTGGGCCAAACATGTGCCAGCAAAATATAAAAATTGCAAACAACTTGCAATCAATTCGGCCACTATGTTTGGCTCAACGTATATGTGCGAAACGTCTTTGTCAAAAATGAATTAATTTAAGGTCTTTTATTTTATCATTAAGAATGTACCAAAATAATAAACATCTTGTCATTAAATGTTATCATTTGTTTTTTTTTGGACCTTGTTCAAATTTTCTTCTAGTATCCGGACCTCACATAAAATTACTTGCCCACCCGGCTAACTCATTGTTTGAATACCTTGTTTTTCTGGAAAATGTATGACAATGACTGAAAAACGGAGGATCCGGGATCAAACATCCTTGATTATCCTTTAAAAAAATAGCATTGACGTCATACTGTAGCTTATTAAGATAATTTTTTATGGTTTTCTGTTGACACAACCACAAAATCATTTTTAAATATTATTGTGTAGCATGTTTGTTTTTTGTTTCAGGCCTCTTTAGTGCGACCTGCATGTCTTTAGTTTCTTTCCATATAAGTATCTGTGGTATGCTTGTAAACTACAAGGTGATAATTCAAACTGTGTATGCTACAAATTATGTTTTAGGCTTTTTAGATAGAAAAAAATACCATCACAACTAATGTTAAAATGATGACTTTTATCGTAAGTGATTAAATATTGTAAGTTAATTTGTTGATTTTTTAAATTTCCTTATTGTACTTAAACTTTTATTAAACTGTTATTTTATTTGTTTTGTAATAAAAGTGTCTGTTTATTTTAATATACGAGTTTTATTTATGCCGCTATGTCCAGTTTGTAGTTTTTGAGTATGGTTATTTACAGTTTCTACTTTTTTAACCTTCGTTATTTTGGCCTCATGCCAAATGTTATGGTAAGTACCTTGTAACCTCGGAAAAATGTGTTTTTCGAAATCATTTTTTACTTTTTTTGTAACGGAAATATTTTTAATTAATGTTCAAAAAGTGGTCATGTTTTAATAAAATCGATCACATTTTTTTCCGAATTAACTTTTTGAAATGAAAATTTGGGAGCATATTATTAACCCTGCACTAGATGCGTCTAATTTGATAACTTTAGTAGACGCGCCCAAACTGAGAGTCCGATAACAAAAAACTACTCCAGCTAGTTGTAAAACCGTTTTATATTACTAAAATTATATAAAAAAAACTTTAGTAAGCTAACTTATACATGTGATTTACAAAAATAATACAAAAATTAATGACAACACGTTATAGGTAAAAACATTTCGTATAACCTACTTTTCTTGAGAACAGTTATTACAAATAATACTGGCATGTTCTAAGCACAGATACTTTTTGCAGAAAATACAAAAATGTTTTGTTGGTCGATTTTTCTTAGAATCACAAATACTGCAATGTCCCCTTTTGTTAGCAATCTAACAGGTATACCCTGTTTATTTATATCCTACATATTTCAAGAACTTGTGTTAAACCGTCTCAATTTTTGATATGTAAATATTATAAGAAGGATACTCTAGATGGGGTCTAATTAAAGAACAATATAGTAATTTAATCGCTTTAATATTATTAAAGTCTCTAGTGAATATTTTATTAAAACCAAGCATTTGTAGAGACTTTGAAATTATTGACATATAATGTGATTCAAATAAAAGTTAGAGTCTAAATTATTTCCCAGATCACGAATTTCGGTAACCTAGTCAACAAGAATGTTCTGTATATTAAAATTATATTCCATTGGATCTCTCGATCGACCAAAAGAATCAGCATGACACTTGGATATGTTCAGGGTCATGGCATTCAACACACACCACTCACTCAACCGATCGTGTTGAAAATTAACACAATCTTCTGTATTATTATGTATATCATTGATGAATATGTTAAAGGGGTCCCAAATGAGAACCCTGGGGTACCCCTGAATGAACCTTTATTTCACTGGAAACAAAAATCCCTGATACGCACCATCTGAACTCGGTCAATCAAGTATGTTCTCAGCCATCTAAGAAGTGGCCCATCAACACCCATTTTTTCAAGTTTAACTATTAAAATATTTTGGTTGACCCGATCAAATGCCTTGGAGAAATCATAGTATAGTGCATGTACCCTACAGCCTCTCCCCATGGCCTTCCTCAGGAAGTCCTCAAACGCTAGTATATTACATTCGGTTGATTTGCTATTCTGAAATCCAAATTGTTGGTCTACTAGCTGTTTTTCAAGTGAAGCTTTAAGATAGTCAGATACAAAACATTCAAATATCTTTGGTATTTTTACATTAATTGTACTAATGGGCCTGTAATTATTAGGTGTTGAAAAACAATTTTCCAGCATTCTGGAAATTCACCATTATTTAAGTATAGATTAAAATTGCGAAAAAGAGGTCTGGATAATATAAAACAATAATTCTTGAGAAAGCTGGGAGGCAATCCATCAGGACCAGGACCCTTGTTCACATAAGTTCTGATAATTTTAAATAAATAAAAAATATAATGAATAATATTTGACAAATTACTCAATTTACTATTAAAAAATATTACTCATATTCATTTTATTACAACCCTTTTTATTAACATAAAAAAAATGTACTTAATACTTAGTAAAAGCTGCTTAAAAATTTAAAAAATTTTATTGCAAAAAAATAGTTTTTATTTGTTTATATATTTAAATATATTTTTATTTATAAATTTTTTAATTCACTATAACATTAATATAAATTAATTATTCAATATTTAAACAATATTAAATATTACTTACTTTATGCACGCGCGCAACCAGGAAAGAGTAAACAAAGTGAAAATGGCATTTTTTATTAAATTCCCATAACATTGAAATAATGTTAAAAACAAACATTAAATTTTTAAAATAATACAAAAAAAAATTTTAAAAACCTTCATTACTCCAAAAAAGTATATAGAATGTATAATATAGAAAACAATATATAAAATAAAAAAACAATGTCAATACTACAACATACATTCCTCTCTCTTAGATCGCCCAAACATCTAAACATCATTCGGTTTATTAATTTTCTCAAAACTTCCCAAGTTTTGGTATCATGTTTTTTGCTTAACAGAATTGGTTTCAGTCTTCTTTGTGCAATCGCACCATGGCGTTGCAGTGTGATTGCAGTACAACTTTATGTTCATTACAAGTACAGGAGCGCCCTCTATTTCCATATGTTTTCTACTCACGACTTCGTATTTGACGTCATGCAAGCCCGTTTGGCGGTCTCTGCGTCTTGTTACTTCGCGTTGGTTATAGCACTTCACTGCGTCTCTTTTCCGTTCTTTTCCGTGAATGTGCCTGCAAAAAATCGTTCATTAATATAAAAATACTTTGATATTTTGTGAATTTTATTTAGTTAGACTGTGAATTTGTGTTTGTTCTACTCTGTGGGCTTTTTGTTATAATAGACGACTCATTTCTGTATATTTTATTTATTACACGACAAACTAATACTAATACATCATTATCTCTAAAGTGCCACAAGACCAGTCTATCGACTGTCAATGTCTGTCTTTCTCTTTCACTCCCGGACTTTTTCTTCTATTTGACATGTCACTAATGTTAAGATAGGTTTACAAATATTAAGGTAGATTTACAACGTAACACAACATAACAATTTAAAGGTGAAAAGAGTGCCTTGTAAAAGCCACAGAAGCCAGAAATACTGGGAGCGTCAAGGCTTTTCAACGTATATATCCTTGCTCCGGAATACTGTCGCTGAAAAAGTTACTTAGTTGGCTGTCAATATAAGTGATCATTGTCTTGGAACATATCCAGACAAAATTAATGCTATTTTAAAACACCCCGAACCTCAGAGTACCACCCAGACGCCTTATCGGTTTGATCGAGTATTATCTTTATATTGCCTGCGATGCATGTGACTCTGGAGTTGGGTCACTCCTGTTCCAAAACGAGGATGGTTTTGTGCATCCCATTGCTTATTTAGTAAAACTATCAACAAGTCCCAACGTAAGTAGTATAGCACGACTGACAAAGAGCTTTTGTCTATTTTCTTATCGATCAAGAAATTAAGAAGGCACAGTTTTTTGTGTAATTTCTGATCATGCTTCTCTTCAGTGGCTTTTCATCATTAAAAACCCTTCTCTTATCTGAAGTTATCTTTTTATAAGTTCGATATAGTGCATCGTAGTGGTTCTCTTAAAGGCGTTGCCTTTCCAGAATTCCAAAAACTGCCCCAGATGTTTCAGTTTGTCTGGTGACACTAGGGACAATTGGTATAACACCTTAATAAAGAAGGTTATCAATGACCCACAAAAATATCCTTCGCTTAAAGTTGAAGACAACGTCTTGTACAAGCACGTCTATTCTCATTCTAAATTCTGTAATTCCTATCACAATTGGAAAATTTTTGTTCCCTCTCCTCACAGAAAATATATCTAAATTGTAGATTGGTTCACTAAGTTTATCTTAGTTTACCCCATGTATACAGCGACATCTGTTGGCATCGTGAAATTTATTGAAAGGTCTTCCTAATCTTTGGTGTCCCGCAGATTTTTGCTGTTAACAATAACCCTCAATTAATTTCTATCGAAATTAAGGACCTTATAAAACAATAAAATGTCCAAAAAATCTGATACAATGCCAGATATTTTCCCAGATTAACACGACTTAAAAGGTAAACAAAACTATCGCAACAGCTATTCGCTCATTTATTAAAGGTAACCACAAAGACTGGGATGAAGACATATTTAATATAGCCCAGGCAATTAGGCTCGCAAAACATGATGTTACCTAATTTTCTCCCTCTTTCTTAACTTTCGCCAGGAATATTCCAACTGGCTTCCTTTTATGGAACTGGCTTCCTTCCTTTTATTGAGGACAGGCCGAATCAGGGAAACAGCCTTTTCTCCCCTTGCCTCCCGAAAGCCTGGCTACTATCTTATGAAATCTAGAAAATAATTCGTTATTTCTACACAATCAATAGGGATCGTTATAACTTGCGTAGTTCCTCTTCTACTTATTCCCCTGGAACGAAAATCTGGAAAAGAAATTTCGTCTTGTCTAAAGCTATCGATAATGTTCGACAGTCTAGTGATTTTCTACCGTCTGATCTCTCAAAAAACACTGTGTTAAGCACTCGTATCTTCCTCTGATCTTACCACATGACCTGCCCATCTTATCCGGTTAACTTTTATATTTCGGACTGTGTTTTCAGAACTATAGAGATTCACCAATTCAGCATTGCGGCGCCTTCTCCAACAAATAATAAATGTGAATTCCAAAAATCCTTTCGCATCACAAAATGATCGTTATTTTTCTAACTTATCGGATTCTCTTGGTCTTCTTCAGAGTTTGTTCACCACTGTTGCTCCAATATTTGCACCTTTCATCAACAGTAAAAATAAATATTTTATCACCGTTTCAACTTTCAATCAAACCGGAAAATTTTTTGAAAATATGTTAACAAATAATACATTTAGATAACGACTTACAAAAAGTGAGTTTGTATTTCTATTAATGTGGTACTTTTCCTATGACACATCGCGGAATTTCTTAATAAGTTTCTACAATCTGAATATTAGTGTAATTAGTCCGTGTATGCTTTGTCTGTTGTGTATGTTGCTGTTAATTTCTCAATTTTAAAAAGGACAGACAATATTGTGCAATATATCTCTTAAAATTGTGCAAAAGTAAGCCATTGTTCGGTGCATCCAAATATTATTATTTTTAATAATATCGACATTATCTCAAATTATTTAAATGCAATATCAAATACAGATGTTATTATTCGTATAGATAATATTTCCACTTTTTCTGTTATCACGATAAAGCACAATAAAATTTTTATTATAAGTGTTCGCGGTAGTTGTCAAAAAGCAATATATCATGGAGATAATCAACCATTGACATTATAAAGCTTGTTGTTTAATAAAAAATAATTTTTCTGAGTACCTACTTAAAAAATATTATGTTTACCCTTTGCAACCCCATACATTTTGAACACATTATATCTAGATATAGAGCCAGGTTATGATAAGCTTTTTAAGATTAGAACTTTTCTGAACAAGTTATTCAAAACTTTTTTTACTACCTACTAAAAACTCACTCAGAATCAAATGATCGATGATCTGATTTAAAGAAAATCTTCACTACGTCAATATAAATGCCTATGAAGCCCATAAAACGAGGCTATAGAGTAGGGGTCTGTAATCTGGATATACATGAAAATTTCGAGAATTTAATACCTGAAAGACAGTTACTTAAAAAATTATATTTTGATAATTATTTCTTTTCCTTTTCATTCATGAGTGAATTGAGAAAATAAAAAAATATGGATGTGGTACAGTTTGCAAGGCTAGGAAGCGACTATGGACTGAGTTTCTTGCAGATATAGTAATGATTACAGGACGATTTGACTGGAAAAATACCAACAAAAATGTATTTATGAAGTGAAAAGATAAGAAAACAATATATTTCCTTAGAAATTTCTACAATACACAAAATATTACAATGATAAATCGGAGGCAAAGAGATGGAATGCTTCAAGAAGAGATTTGTTCACTCTTGGTGAAGGATTATAATAATCATATGGGATATGTGAATAAAGCTCAAAATTCTGTTAGGAAATAAGCAGAAATTACAAAAAATGGTGCATCCTCATTTTTTTGGCATTTTGTAGATATTGCCCTCCTAACTTCTTTCATTTTATTAGCAGAAGGAAGTGAACAACAAAAACTAAAATTGAAAGACTTTAGGCTTGTTGTTCACTTTAGGCTTACAGGATTTAAAAATATCAGAAAGAGTGGTAGAAAGAGCTTAGTAACAAGTTATAATAAGTCAAGAATCATGGTCTGGTCAAGGCAAGCTTGACCTCAGCACGAGCTAAAAACAAACCCCATAGAAGTAGATAGTAGTGTTAAACTTTTAATACAGGACTTTGCCTCCATGATAAAAAACTGTATTTTACAAACAAAAGAGCACTCATTATAAAGCCATAAAAGCCTATATTCAACTTTGAACTGTACAAAATATACCAGGATCCGGATATTACAACATTCAGAATACATTCAACATAAAATAGAAGCAGAGATACTTAGAACAAATAGAAAATGAAAAAAAAAAAAAAAAAAAAAAAAAAAAAAAAAAAAAAAAAAAAAAAATTTATAGTTTTAACCGCTGAGTAGAATTCATTTTTTTTTTTTTTTCTTGTGATGTTAACTATTATTCATGTAGATTTTACAGCAATTTAAGTATTCTTCTTTACGAGAATTTCAACAGTTCTTATGAAATAAAAAACTGATTTGAAAGAAGATGAAATGTGGCCTATTAGACAAAGAAAAAGGTCGGGTCCAGGCCCTAGTTATGGATGTTGCTTGATGGGCTTAATCATCCAGTAACATGAGTATTTACTTAAGTGTTAAGTTTTGTAAAAAATTAACCTACAACTTAATTATTGCTTTCAAATTTGGGAGTTGTGGTGGGTGTTTGAGGCTTCAAACACTCAAACTTTCTGATCAATATGTCAAATTTGTTTCTTAATCACACAGAGATCTATTTTTGGAATAACATTAGTTAAAATAATGAAGCTCCAGTAATTCTAGTGATACCACATAAAAGAAGAGAGTTGTACCATGAATATTTACAAATAAAATAAAAAAATGATTGTTTTAAAGCAAAATATTTTCCAAATTACTGTCATTTTTAACTTACAAACACTGAGAATAACTTTTGCTCACAAATGAAATTTTTTTTTTGTATTCAAAAAGCTCACATTTTTACGTAAATTTAGAAGTGAATCAAAAAAGTTGTTCCAGAAAAATTAGGAGAAAAGTTAGATCTTAAAAGATTTTTGCTTATGTTTGTGGGAGAATTGAGGACTTATTTTAGCACATAATGTCACAATATAGGTTACACTATATCTTGTTAATATTTATTAATACTAATAATCATTTTCATATAATTATTTCCAAATCATAAAATAATGAGAAACTATAGATTTGTATATATAAATTAATTGGCCATTGTTATATTACACAATATTCTTGAAAATATGAAAAGTCACATTGCATAATTCTACATTATTAAGTGTGGACTGTGTGGTTGGGATATTGATTATTCTGTAATGTATGCAACCCATACAACTATAAAGCAATGGTGTAATCATTGCATCACACCACAATTTAAAAAATAAAACAAATATGTTACTTCTGCAAAAGTTATGTTCATCATCTTTTTCCTCATATATGTCTAGCATATGAGGCTTATGTCACAATTAATAATATTTTTGATGATTAGTAAGAGTCACCAAAATAAAAAAGCTTTCTAGATCTTGCACAGGGGTGGTGATATACTCTTTATTAGTAGAGAACAAATATAAGAAAAATCAATGAAAAAATAAGGAGTATGTGAGAACAAAACATACTCTAGAGTCATTTGTAAACACAAAATAAAAACTTATAGAATGAACCTACAATTAGTACTTCATAATAAATAAAAGACTGGAATGTATCCAGAAAAGCAATATAGCAGGAGATGCTGTATACAAAAAGTATGATGTGCCTTCTATTAATCACAGTTGTGTTAAGAATCTTTAGCTTAGCATTAAAACTATTTGAGGCAAGTGTACATATTATTCTATCCAGCATTAAAAAACTTCAGTAGGCTCAATTTTATTACCAAAACCACAAAAGTTGTACTTACTTGAATGTATTACTCTGGCCTGTAGTAATATTCACTGGTCTAGTTACATTTAAATGAGCATCTTTTAGACGAACATAAAATTCATCATCTTCCAAGCCCCAACCCCAATATCTATTTGATAATCCTTTGACTAGTTCAAAATGGTGTCTAAAACAGTAAGAACATTACCTAAAAACAGCAAGATAAATTTTTTATATATATGTAAACAGAGAAAATTACACAAAGACCATTACAAAACTATTTACTAGTCTTTTGACACTCATCTTTATCATTACAGCCGGTTAGTTATATAATTTACTGTGGATAATGAATTAATCTTTATTTTTCTTAAAAACTATACTTAAAATTCTTATTTAACACATTGCCTGCTGTCTTGGTCTATGTGGCTGAGAAAAAATTGCCCTGCACACCAGCAAGGTCTGTTGATCTGTGGTGCCGGCACAGTCACTATGGCGGGAACGGAAAGTATTATAAAAATTATATACGCCAGGCAATGTGTTAATATTAGTTATAATAAGAACATTACTATTCTTTGTTTCAAGTTAAGAAAATAACATTAAGCTTATGGAGATCAGTGTTGCCAAAACTCTCAGACACTCTCTTTTGCATGGATGTCCAAGATATTCCCTTTGCTTAATTTTTGAATTTTCATATTCAATTAACATTTAACTGTAAAGTCAGAATAACTACAAAATAAAAGCCTTATTATCATTATGTAGTCAGAGAACGACATAAAATAGCTGACATACGCACATCATATTATTTTAAGTTGCAATTAGTAATTAGATATACGCATTCCAAGCGGTCAATAATTTCTAATGATTTCTATGATTCATGGCATATCGTATTCTCACCGAAAAACAAATAAACTGTCGTTACTATACTTAATTAAAATAAGATAAAATAAAATTATCTTTTGTAAATACTATTTATCTAATTAAAATCATTTTCCCTACTTTTCATATCTCTTGTTTTGAATGGGCACTTTTGGTCAATTACGTTAAAAAACATTAATTTAATTCATGTTTGTGGAAACGAAAATACAAATTATACAACCCTAAATTGTGCTTGTGTGTGTCGTGGCAACGCCGCGTTGCTATCGTCCATAAGAAATACATGGCCCTATCTCCGCAATGTTATTTTCTAAACGTGGAACGTAGTATAGTGCAATGATAATCTTAGCTCGAATCTTGGCTCTTTTGCATCTCTTATTTACTTTTGAATTATCTATCAGCAAGATAGCTTTGATATTTTTAAGTTGTCCCCATTTTTACATTTCTTTCTGCACTTGCTATACACTTAGATCACGATACTGAACTTTGCTTTAGATGTAGTTAAGTTTACTCACTATATCCCTTAATTTTAGTTTTGAGAAATTTTGTATGTATATAGGCATTATGTATATGAAATAATATTGTAATGTATGTTAATTTTTATTGCCTTTCTTCAATGCTGCATAGAATTTTTTCTCAATAGCTTATGCATCTTAGTTTGGGAAATATTTTTATTATTCTATTATGTTTCTTCAACTTTTGCTTCACTTTGCTAACAGCACAGGTGAAATTAAAATAATTACTCACCTATTAATTAATAAAATGCCTCCAATAAATTTTTCATAGTGATATCTAGGATGTAGTGTTGGAGCAGCTATGTGAATAGGTTGTTCTGGATATGTATATACTAGTTGGGTATTAAGAGGTAGCAGATCTACATCATGCATTGCGATATAATCATAACTTGATTTAGTTTCCAAGAATCCTGCATTTATAAGTGATGCTCGATTAAACCTATATTGATCTACTTGATTTAGGACTATAATATCATAGGCTACTTTCTGTTTATTTAAAAAATTGTGCATATAGGGTACAAATTCCATTAATTCTTCAAATCTCTCTCTATATGGTACTAATACTGCGAGTTTATGTTTAGAGCTGATCAATTTCTTTGAACTAACTGTAGTAAAAGTAATTTTTTCATTGGAACAATTACAACCATTAAGTTCTAAAATGTATAATATTAGTTGATAATACTCATTGAAGGACATGTACTACCTGTTAAGATGTAGAATATTAAAATTGCTGAAAAAATAAACATTACAAAAAGACAAATTGTTAAATAATACGGGTAAGAAAGACGTAAAGTTTTAACTCGCATTTTTACTTATTTTTTAAGTAGTTATCTTTCATCTTTATCTTTGCGTCAAAGTTGTAAAAAGAAATATAAATAAAACATTTTAATTTTCTACTAAAACCCAACAACAAGAACCTAATTTTTCAACCCCGAACCTAACATTTTCTTCTTTAAAATTGAATATGAATTGAATGTGCTGAAAATTAGAATGATCAGCGGAAGTGGCCGACAGACGAATATAAAATTATCTAATAAAACAAAATACTGTTCTTGTTCTAATAGAATAAAATGTAAATACCTATCAGATGTTTTTAATAAATTAATACCCTACATTTTTTTGTTAAATTATTTGAATGAATGTGTATTTACAGTGGCAAAATCAAGTTTAAAATTGCCCCAGAATATGAAATATAAGAATTAACATTTACATTTTTTGCTATTGCATTTACTAAACAAATAAATATTTTTAATAAATATTTAACCAAAATAATCAATATTGTGCAATATTACAATTTGGAATTAGACATATTGATCAAAATTTTCTGTGAAACCGTCAGTGAATCAGAGTTCTGCGCAAACGTGCGCTGCACCGAAGCTGCACGAGTCTAAGCGAAAAGTGACAATATAACATTTTTTCGCGGTCAAAAGGAGCGAAGTTGATCACATTCTGTTCAACTGAAACAATGTTATTGAGTTTTACAACAATTTCATCTAAAGTTAAATGTCAAGTGTCGAGTATAGGTGGTCAAAACACTTTAAAAAACAGTCTACCGTCTTGATTAAGTGCTAAATTAGTTGTTTTATTTAGTAAATTTAAGAATAAGTTTATTTAATTTTGTGACCATGCCGAAAGGAAAACGAAAGGGAAGGTCTGGTGAGTATTTTCAGTTACCTACGAAATTCACCTTTATCGACATAGGAAATAAGACGCCAAGTATCTTGTGGTTTACGTCAAACGATAATTTTGCTTTAAAGTTCTACAAATTGGTGGCATATGGCATGCACGTACATATTTTTATATATTGCAATGATTATCATGTCATCAAAACTGGGTTTTCCACTTCAGATCAGTAAATTCGTTCCCAAAATACCATTGCACAACATGCACACATTTAGCTGCAATGTGCAACATTGATTTTCGGAATCAATGTTTTTGAATTGGCAATTTAACGTCTTTCAACAGACATAAACTAATAATTAATTGGGTGATTTCTAATTTAATAATAATATTTCTCACGTATGAACAGGATGATATAATACGTTTGAACAATAAAAAAATTGTCAAGGTTAACTCTAATATCATTATCTACTTATAAATTAATATTTATAGATGTATATCACAAGATACTTTTCTAAATCGAGCTAGTTCCTTAAAATAAGAACAATTTTCAACATTGGAAGGTTACCCAGTTATTTTTAAAAATATGTACTAATTATTTTGGCAAGAAAATTTTTATAAACGTTTCTTAGAACATGACTATTCAATTATTCACATAACACACTTTTTGTTTTTATACCATTCTTTGTGATGAAGTAAAGAAATAAATTGTCAATAATTGGCACAATAATAAATTTGAATATTTTCCATTTAGCTTTGAAATTACTGCTTCCTTTTCCTTTGTTATTTGTATAATTTGTATATAAATCTATTTGGTAAGCTTCCAAAAGAAAACATATGTTTGATATATTACACAATGTGGTAGAAGACAAGATGGATAATTATTTGATGTGTTATTAATTACATAATTTTTATATTGATAAATTTCTTTAACTTTGATACATACATTACTCTGGAAAAGAATTATTTTTAGACAGATTAAATATTTAGAATCAGATGATTCATTGATAAATATATATTGGAGACTCATCTTAATGAATGTTTGTGCTTGAAAGGAATTTGCTTTTTCATGAATTAGATAAACTAGTGTAGATTTTTAATCATTTTATAATTTTTGGATAGGTTGTAGGGCTTTATAGGGGTATAGTAAACTGTTCTTTTACTTTCTTTATTGAACTGGTAAAATAATTTGCATTTCAAAGAGTAGAAAATACAATACACCTTGTGACATATCCCTTCATTTGAATCCAGATTAGTTAATGGTGTTAATTATGCAATGACAAGATGGTAATTGAAACACTGTAACTCCATGTTCTTTTGCTACTTCCTGTATACATTTTCTATTGTGTTCTCGAAAGCAAAGTATAATACATGTAAAAAATTTTCATGATTTGTTTCTTGTAATGTTTAGCAAAGTTTCATCATTATTAATGTTTGCTTAAATTTTTTTCCAAAGTATATTTGGACTACTTACAGGAAAATCAAATGAAGGCACTTCTCTTTGAATTTCTTATGTTCAGTAAGAACAAAAGTGACTGTGCTTCTGCAAATGTTGCTCAATTTCGTTGTTTCAAACCTCTATAACTGGTTGCTTATCATTTGCTCTATTATGGTTGAACATGAAAAATTGTTCTACAAACAATACTAGTGGCAGTGGGGTGTTATTGTACAAGGGCATCCTGTAGATTTAACACTCAATCTTCAAATGTACTAATAAATGATATTTTAATCTCACAGCAGGTGTAAAATTAGACAATTAGATTAATAAGTTCATTCAATATTGCTTTCTTGCTATTAATATGAAATTAACAATTCTACATGTTAAAGTCTAAACAGACAGAATTTTCATTTCTATAAACTGGATTTTTTTACCAATTGCACAAACAACTTTAACACCTTGACGGACACCTAAGTTATTCAAAAATAGTCAATTTGTACAGTGTCCTTTTTGTCGATATTATTACCATAATATATTACGATAATTTACCAGATGGGTAACAGATTGGAAGGTATAGATAGGTATTCTACGACAGTGGATTACGTGTTACCATGTATTTATATTATAAATATAACGCGGTACAGCGTTCTGTCACGATATTAGATTTTGTTAAGGACGCTTCACAGCGTTCTGTCACAACACAATTTTAAAAAAAGACGCTGCACAGCGTCTCTGTCCATCAACGTGTTAATATGCAATTTAATTGTAGATATTATATTTTTTGTGATATTCAGCACAAGAGGTTTAAAAAATAGATATCTGTAACATCTGTTCCACTTTTTCAGTTGAAATGTATTCAAATTCTAGTTAACAACTCTTGGGCAGGCATTTTTCAACCCAGACAGAATCTGTCTGGGCTAATATGTCTTTTTCAAAATTAAAGAAATGTTTTATTTATAAATTTGAAACCTTTTTTAAAATACAAACTTTTCAATTCGAGTTTCTAGTTCTAGCCTACTGTAGGTTGTATTGAATTATTCATTTATTATTATTGAATCCTTAATATTGACCTTGGTTATAGTATTATGTGTTATATTGTTTCAACAGAGAGGAGTATATAAACAGAGACCTTGATCTTTGGTGAATAACCTGCTTAAATTTTCTTTGTTTGATATTTGATAATATCATACATTAGTGAGATGCCAAGCGTTTTTTGAGGTTATCTTGGTTTAATAGGACCCTATTTACTAGTATTGTTCATATTTTTTAAACTGTTTTGTTTATTTTTTAAAATAAATATCATCTATCAGTTAACACATTGCCTGCCTTGTCAGTCTGTGTGATAGAGAAAAATTGTTCTGCAAGCCAGCGAGGTCTATTTGACCTAGAATTTTAAAGTAACTGTGGTACCGTCTCAGTGACTATAGCGTGAACGGAAAGTATTGCAAATTCCTCTATGGCAGGCAAGGTGTTAAAAAGCATCACCTGCGAAAGCCTAAAAGAGGTATTTTGTCAGAAAACAAAGCTATTATAGTTTCTATAATAGCTCAGAGATACTAATTTGGGCATTCCTTTGATCTTCCTGAAACATTGTTTCCATTGTTTATGATTCTAAAGTTATTATTTGTACTATCTTACCTAATGGAGAAATAAATAACCAGATTTGGTGTTGTAGACAAATATCAGTTTAATTTACCTGTAGAGAAACAAATTTTATTAAAAAGGTCTTATCTGGATAACTTGTTGGTTACTGTTATTTATCTCTTAAAACTGATAATAACATACTTTATTTTCAAAACAAAAGTCTGTAAATATTTGGAATTTATGAAAATATTTGTTTGTAAAAGCTTCACATACAATGTGGTTTTTTGTTAAGTTTAAATTGCTGAAAGAGGAATGGAAGGAAGATGATAATAATAATCAATATTTTGCAAAAGGATAGAACAAAATATCAAGACAAGATCTGTAAAGGAATTTATGACAATGTCAGTTCATGGTTCTATGGTTCAAACTAATCTAACATTCCACAAAAACTCTGGCTTATAATATTGTATTCAATGGTTCTAGAAAATATGATAAAGATTGGCCATAATGCCTGTGGTTTTCTCAAGCAAAAGTGAATATGACACTCTAGCATCACAATGTAACTCAGCACAGTACTCATCTGAGTTAAGAGTTCATTCAGATACAATAGGCAATAAAATTGACTTTACCTAGTAACAAGAGATTTATCTCAATTTGAAAGATCCTAATAATAAGTGGAGCACAGAGTCTACTATGTTGCAATACAATTATATATTAGCACAAACTGTGCTACTCTGTCTGCTAATTGATTTTCAACAACTGAGCTGAGTTTTTTCATCCTTTGAAGGCAGCAAAATGACAATTCGAAGAAGATATTGCAATGTTGCCCTGGATTTCTTTTCACACATCAAAATATCCCCAATCAAAATGTTTAATGCATGGATCACATTCTTATCTGAATAAATATAAAACCAATAAGAAAAGAGAAATGTTTTGGCAACCAATAATCTTTGTCACTTCTTCTTCATGTACCATGTCCTTTCAGAACATTGGTTACCATTATAGCTATCTTAATTTTATTCACTGCCACCCTAAATAGCATGCTTGTATCAACACCATACCAATCTCACAAGTTTTTCGACCATGAGGTTCTTCTTCGTCCTGGACTGTGTTTGCCTGATATTTTTTCCTTGCATGATATTTTGTAGCAACCTATATTTGGGACCTCTCATTACATGTCCGAAATACTCCAGCTTTCTCTGCTTGATGCTTTTTATGATCTCAGTAGTCTTACTGAGACATTCTAGTATTGTGGAGTTTCGAATCTTCTCCACCCAGGAAACTTACACATTTCTAAGGCCTCAAAGTGATTTAGATCGATTTTATTCACAATCCAGGACTTG